TAAGAACTAGCCCTTCTTGACAACATGACCAAACTTGGTGAGAAAAAATTTCACCATCCTTGCCTCAAAGGAACACCCTGGTGGCCTTCTTCTAAGACAGTCACTATGAGTTGGGATCAAAATGATGGCAGAGAATTTGTGGTTGATTTTTTTGTTTGTTTTTAAACATGGAAAGTTTTTTTAGTCCTATTCTGAGAATGAATGATTCAATTTGTGTGTGAATGTAACTGTAAGAAAGGAAGGAGTTGAGCTGCCTGTCACTGCTTGCAGAGACAAAGACTGAAGGTTCGTGTACACTTTATTCAGATGCCAGTGATCTGAGAGAGACCAGATAGTGCTGCCTTTCCCTTACTGGCTCCTCCTCTGGTAGCCTAGTTGTAAGAACTGCACTGCAATCCTGAAGGTACACAGCTCAAATTCACTAGCAACTCCAAGGAATAAGGATAGGCAATCTCCTCCCATGCAATTAATGCTGCTGTTGTTATGTGCCGTTGAGTCACCTGCGACTCATAGCGACCCTATGTACAACAGCCCTAAACTCCGCTCTGTCCTGTGCCAATCGCACTGTCTCCGACACTCCCATCCCAATTATCCCAGTCACTGAATCAATCCACCTCATAGAGGGCCTTCCTCTCCTGCACTGTCTGGCCTCTGAAAACCCAGTGGAGGGTCAGCTATGGCTCAGTCCTGACTCTATGACACATAACAGCAACAGCACCAAAGATTGCTCCTGACCCTCCCTACCCACTAAGCCACCAGACCAGGGGCAGGGAAAGGAAATAAATGTGAGAGAAGTGTCTGATAAGGCCAACATGCAAGGAAAAGGTCTAAGAATGTGGTAGGGCTGTTTTTTTCCGTAAGCTTCCTTCCTATGTTCAGGGATGTTTATCAAACTTCTTTGCAGATGGTGTGTTCTGTGTTAGCAGTCTTTCATGCCAGGTTGGCCCCATCATACATCTTTATGGCCTGGAACACACCTTTAAGTCTGACAGTGACACCAATGGGCCTAATTAGGCATTTATTCACTATTATTCTATCTGTAGGCATCTGTGTTTGACCATGACCCTGCCCTCTACTATTTTGAGGGTTTTGGTTTTTCTGTTCATTCAAGGAGAACAGAGTGAACCTGGCAAGGTATGCTTTCTGTAATGCTCTCAAACTACATACGTAGAGTGTGATTTAAGAAGTATTTATGAACTTAGAAAAGAAACAAATATGTAAAGTATGTAGTAAACAACTTCCCTAGTGATAAAATAATATATAACACACAATTAAATTTCTATAAGGTGACACAAATGATTGAAGATCAGGTAAGTTATAGGAAGACATTAAAGATAACATCTATGAAGAGAAAAAAAAAGTTACAAAAACACAGAAGGGAAAAAGACCAAAACAGATGTCAGAAAAGACTCTGAAAACTGCATTAGAGAATCAAGAAGCCAAAGCAAAGGGGCTAAACACTGAGTTAAAGAAGATTTTGAAGACAAAAGGGATCATAATGGAATGTGAAGAGAGCTGGAGTTTGAGAATAAAATGGGAAGAACTTGCCTGGCATGTCTAAAGTTCAAAGAACTGAAAAGCAAATTCAATCCTTAGGTTTCAATACTGAGAGATGCTATGAGCAATATCTTGAATGATCCAGGAAGCATCAAACAAGAGAAAAGAAATACCAGAATTACTGTACCAAAAGAAATGGCTGATACTGAAAAATTTCAGGAAATATCCTATGAACAAGAGCCAATGGTAATGAAGGAAGAAGTTCAAGTTGCTGTGAAGGCACTGGCAAAAAAATCAGGTCCCAGGAATCAATGGGATACCAACTGACATGGTTTTGCTAATAGATACAGCTCTAGAGGTACTCAAGTCTATGCCAGGATATTTGAAAGACAGCTGCCTGGCCGACTGATTGGATGAGATCCATGTTTGTTCTTGCTCCCAAGAAAGGTGATCCAACAGAATGTGGAAATTATCGAGTATCATTAATATCATATACAATCAAAATACTGCTGAAGATCATCCCAAAATGGCTAGAATGGTACATTGACAGGAAACAGCCAAAATTAAAAAATGGCTTAGGAGAGACCATGGGATATCAATGCTGATGTAAGATGGATCCTGACTGAAATCAGAGAATATCAGAAAAATGTCCGTGTTTTATTGACTACCCAAGGGTGTTTAACTATGTGGATCATAAACTATGGCTAAAAATTGAGAAGAATGGGATCCTAGAACACCTATGGGTCCTCATGAGAAACCCATACCTAGATCAAGAAGTTGTTGTCTGAAGAAAAACAAGGGGGAAAGGCATGGTTTAAAATCAGGAAAAGTATTTGTCAGGGTTGTATCCCTTCTCCATACCTACTGAATCTGTATGCTGAGCAAATCATTCATGCTGCTTGATGATGAAAAGGGATGTGGATTAAAGGAAGACTCATCAACAACTTACACTATGCAGGTGACACAACCTTGCTTGCTGAAAGTCAGGATGGTTTAAAACACTGTAGAGGACCAAAGACTACAGCCTTTAATATGGATTGCATCTCAACATCAAGAAGACAAAAATCCACCACTGGATTGATAAGGCAACCTGATGATTGATAGGAGAAACAATTGAAGTTGTCTACTATTTCATCGTACTTGGATCCACAGTCAACAGCCATGATACCAACAGTCAGGAAATGAGGAGAGGTATTGCTTTGGGCAAGTCCACTGTCAGTGATCTCTCTACATTCCTGAAGAACAATGATGTTAGACTAAAGTGCATCTGATTCAGGCCATGGTCTTTTCAATAACTTGCTGTACATCTTAGAGCTAGACAGTGAATAAGGATGACAGAAGAATAATTGATGCCTTTGAGCTGTGGTGTTGTAGAAAAGTAATGAACATCTCATGGACTGCCAAAAGAACAAACAAACAAAAAAGTATCTTGGAGAAAGTGCAGCCAGAGTGCTCTTTGGAGGCAAAGATGATAAAGGTTCACCTCACATACTTTGGGCAAGTTGTTAGGAGAGGCTATTCATTGGAGAGGAATATAATGCTTGGAAAGGTATAGGGCCAAAGAGTAGAAGACCTTCAATAAGATGGACTGACACACTGAATGTAGCAGTGGGTTTAACTGTGTTGGAGATGGAGATGGTGAGGACAGCACAGGATTGGGTTGCCATATGTTGTACCTAACACCGCCACCACCAACCTTGTGACATTAAGTCATAACCCACTTAATCTCCAATCTTAAAGACAATGTACTGTACACAGCTAGTCTTAGCTCTGAGGGGAAAAGTGTGAAATACTAGCTTCTGTTATTAGATATTACATCACCTGGCCCTTATTCTGCAGAGCTAAGTATACCAGAGACTTGAGACTACCCACTAAGAGAAGGCACTAGCACTTTGCCTGCTGCCACCATGCTGGAACTCCAGCTACTAGGGAATGCCACCAAGACAAGTTGCGGCCAAGTCTTCCTCCTTTAACCACTCATATAAAGCAAAAGTGGGACTTTTCCTATCATGAGGCCTTTGCTATAAACAAAACAAGGTTATACATTATGATAAATTTTAGTATTTCTTGATTTTAAAATTAAATCCTACAGGGCACGCTTCTTTAAAGTTAGAACATTTTATAGATTTGTTGGGATCTTTCCTCAGACTGCTTCTACTACTCTCCAACCTACAAATAATTAAACACTTAGATAAACTGTGTTAATTTTCCAACTCTTAGGGCTTCAGATCAGTCACTTTCTGGATTTCACATTGTTTTATCTGTTATGTGGATTAACAATTATGAAGATTCAAAAAGAAAAATAATTTCTTATGAATTAAAGACAAAAGTAATGCAACAAGTAACAATTTATTTATAAAAAAGGAGGAAAGCCAAACTTAACTCTTTACTACATCTTATAGAATAAGTAAAAATACCATTATTAATATATATGTATATACATACCACATATATATATATACATACATATGATATAACATTAAAATTACATGCTTCTCAGGACCTAAGAATTAGGACAAGTTCCCTCAGATCAACTTAAAATTCTATTACGATTTAAAAATCACTGCAAGGAGACTCACTTGCTTTATTATCTGGTGGTTGTTTTTGGACAAGAATGACAGAAAGTTGTGAAACCATGATCTAAATGTAGAAACCACCTGCTACACATAAGCGACAAGGAACTGCCACATTGGAGAGCTGGAGTCTCTGCCACCCTACACGCTTGTCACCTGAGATGAGAGGGAAAGATGAAGCGTGAAAGTCTGTAGGCTTCATGGGGGACAGTCACACTGACATTTAAAGAGAAGCAAACACAGAAATGTCTTAGACCTACAACACTGGCCATGATAGCTTTCTGGAGGAAGAGTCCCCTCTCCCCTTTCCTTGCCAAATGAAATACAAAGATTTCCGGGGGGGGGGGGGAACCTCAGGTGAAGCACCTCTAGGGCTGATCTGCACACAGCAAGGGACAGAGAGGTAGGTTTCCTTCGCAACAGCGTCCGATGCCTGTGATATCAAACACATCCTCTTCTGCAAAAGGCACTCACATAAGGTCTGTTAGAAATAATATACTGGGATTCATACATGGAATTTCCCTACAAAGGGAAAACATAAAAGTACAGAAGACAGTATCACAAAGAAAAAAAAAAGATACATTTTGGATCAATTCCCTTTAGAATAAAGTTTTAAAAAATCACATTGGAAAGTTAGGAATCCAGTAAAATTTAAGAAGCAGATGTTGGAGGATAAGGAATGGGGCCTGAAAACTGAGAGGAAGTACACTAGCTTTTCAAATGGTCAAAGTGAAGGGAGTTGTCTGCCTGTAAACATGAAAGGCCATTCATATACAATGGAAGTAAAAGGGAAGAATGAAGTGTGAGGGAGCAGAGAACAGGGGAAGAGAGAAAGTGTGGACCTTCGGTAGATAAGCACATTAAGGAAGGTACTCAGGAGGCTCCTGGAAGGCAAGCTTGCTGTCCTTTGCTTGCATTGTCCACAGAGACCCAAAGCAAAGGCCACCCTCACCGGGAAACCACTGAGCTAATGGAATTGTAGGATGTGCCACTGTTGCAGCTTGAGGCATAGGCCTCTTGCCCGTTAACATCAAGGTTTATTTTGAACACAGAAGATGCTTTCAGTAAAAAGTCAGCTGCATCCCGGCGTCCTAGCTCCCTCAGTTTGGACATGAGGATGCCAACTGTACTCTCTGGGAAAGAGGTCCATTCTCGGAGCAAGGCATGGACTGGGCTGGGGAGGAAGTCCTTGGGAGCCCCGTTGTTGGTGTTATACTTTGCTACAAGTTCGGGTAGGCCCAAGTTCATGGCAAGAAGACACCAGTCCTTGCCCATGGGATCCGGCGGATCCAGCAGGCGACTCAATTTCCTGCGGGTCAGAAGGTTGAGATCTGAAGCATGGATATCCATCCCAAGGCTGGCTTGTGAGTAGACATTGTGACATCCAAAGCACATGATGCTACTGAAGCTTTCCTTGTAGCCCCCCATGGTGTTTGTCAGGGAGGTCTCCCTCAGGGTCTGTGCCCGGAAGAAGTCCCGGGGCTGGTAGATCATGACTGGCTCATGGTGCTCCCGCAGCTGCTGGGGGCTCAGGTAATGCTTCACTGTCAATAGCCCTGGCAGTGTGGTCGCCATAACATTCTCAATGGTGCTGCACACTGAGTCCAGCAGGAAGAAGCATTTCATCTTCTCTGTGTCTAGGCCTCGGACCTGGACCTCGATGCCTTGGCCATGGTTGACCAAAAGCACAAGCAGCTCAGCTCCACGGTGGGCAACCTTGCAGCCATTCACCCACAGGCGGATATCTGCGTCACCCTCAGTGCTTTGTTGGTGAATCCACCGGCACAGGTTGACTTGGACTTTGTGAAAGATGCCACAGGGGAAGGGGGTGAGGTGTTCCACAGGAACGATGCGCACACCACCATAGACCATAACTTCATCCTCCTCGTCTGTCCAGGAGCGATGCAAGTTGTCTGTCTTGATCAGGGCCGGTATGTCCACCATGGTGCCACTGCTCAAGTCCCGGGCGCAGATGTCCATGGCATCTAGGATCTGGAGCAGCTCTTCAACATCACTGTCAGGAACCAGGCGCTGAATATCCTCCACAGTATAGCGGCCACGGTAGTGGTGGAGGGCCCGTGGTGTCTCCACAGAAAGCAGCTTCCCCAGGACAGTGGTACAGAGCCAGCGGGGTTCCAGGAGTAGCACATCCTGTACGGTTTCACTCTGCATGATGTTAATCTGTCAGTGGGGACAAGAAGAAGAGGTCACACACAGGAACCTAACGTGGTCAGTGCCATCAGTTATAGCCCAGGAGCTAAGAAGGACATGGGCCATTTGAATGGACAGATCTCAACCATCAAGCACTGAATCCAACTTTATCAGCTTACCAGAGATCTGAGGAAACCACACTCAACTCTTCCCAAAGGGTTAATACAATGGAAAGATTGAAGACAGATAAATAACAGTAACATACAAGGTTAAAAGTTGGCAAGATGGTCATTTAAATTAGAGATTAGATGCTATTAAGGAATTAATTGTGAACTCTGTTAAGTGTGACGGTAATACTAAGATTATGAAAAGGCATACTCTTTGTCTCAGGGGACATTTAGGCAAATATATAGGCATGTAGGGTTATGATACATACAATGGTTAGAAATAATTCAATACATATATGATATTTTATAAAAGTTTAATAAAGAACATATGGCAGAGAGACAATGGTTAAATGTGAGTCTTTTTGAGTCTACTACATTAAGTCTTTCAGTTTTTTAGCCTGTTTGAAAACTTCAGACTTAAAAGTTAAGGGAAAAAAAAAGAAAAAAAGAAGAAAAAAGAGTTAAAGGAAAAAAAAAGTTAAGGGATGGAAAACTTAGTTTCAAAGAGACTCAGGAGATTTGACAGCAAAATGAAATACAGGTAGTCTTCAGCTTATGAGCAAGGGCTGCTTCTGTGCCTTGAAGAATTTGTGGCTGGGCAAAGACATCATTAAAAGAGAAAATTATGGATTTTGATAGTCTAGCTCTCTGGAGACTAAGGTGCGCTTGATACAGGCCATGGTCTTTGCAATCACTTGTTATGCATCAGAGAGTTGGACTAGGGAGGACAGAAGGAGAGTTGATGCGTTTGAGCTGTGGTGCTGGAGAAGAGTACTGAATGTACCATGGACTGCCAGGAAAACAAACAGATTCATCTTGGAGAGGATTAAACCAAGCTACTCCTTGGAGGCAAAGATTCTGGGGCTTCGTCTGACATACTTTGGACATGTTGCCAGGAGGGAGAAGTCCTTGGAGAGGGACATCATGCTTGGGAGGGTGGAGGGACAGCGCAGGAGGAGAAGACCCTCTATGAGATGGATTGAGTCAGTGACTGGGGTAATCGGGATGGGCATGTCAGAGGCAGTGCGGTTGGCACAGGATAGAGCAGGGTTTAGGGCTGTTGTGCATAGGGTCGCTATGAGTCGCAAACGACTCGACGGCACATAACAACAACAACAACAGTGGTAAGAAGTTACGCACATGGTTTGAATCCACCAACTCCTTCTCTGTGATTTATTGCCTTTGAAAATCCTCTAGAGGGTGAGCTATGGTTGGCTCCAACTTGACAGCATGCAATAACAAACAACAATCCCTTACGAACACTGATACAACATTTTCCATCAAAATCCTAGCCACAGACTCTAACATCACATTTAAAAATCATTCATCATGATCAAGTGAGATTCATATTGTGATGTAAGGATGATTTACCATTATAAAAACAAATCAGTGCAATCCACTATATCAATAAAACTGAGGATGGACCAGGGGAAAACCACAGGGTTGCACAATTTGGTGGGTGGAGGGAGGAGAGTAAAGTGAATGGGAAGGATCCAGCAGGGATTTGGAGGATGGCGTAATGGTGGGCATAGTTCAATAGTGATTAATTTTATAAAACATAATGAATAGGAATGGTTGTATGAAAAACAATATGAATGAAGAATAATGTTCAACACATTGTATATGAACTTTGTATGCAAACTAACAAAAACTTTCAAAAAAACTCCACAAAACACCAAAGAGAAAGAACAATGTGATTATCTGAATTCATGCAAAAAAGACTTGACAAAATTCAATACCCTTTCCTGATAAAAGCTCTCAATGCAACAGGAATAGAAGGAAAACCTCAACATAACTATATTCAAAAAACCAACAGCTGACATTATACTCAACGAAGAGAAAATAAATACATTTTCACTGTGCACAGGAACCAGACACAGGTGCCTTTTATCAGCACTCTTATTGAATATTGCACTGGAAATCCTAGTAAGAGCAATAATAAGAAATAAAAGAATCTAAATTATGCATGAGAGAGTTGGATAATGACCAGGGAGGATAGAAGGAGAATCGATGCTTTTGAGCTTTGGTGTTGGAGAAGAGTGCTAAGAGTGCCATGGACTGCTAAGAAAAAAAAACCGATTCATCCTGGAGAGGGTTAAACTGGGCGGCTCCTTGGTGGCAAGGATTCTGGGGCTTCGTCTGATATACTTTGGTCATGTTGTAAGGAGGGACAGGTCCTTGGAGAGGGACATCATGCTTGGGAGGGTGGAGGGCAGGCACAGGAGGGGAAGGCCCTCTGGGAGATGAATTGATTCGGAGCTGAATTGACTGGGGCAACCGGGATGAGTGTGTCGGAGACAGTGAGATTGGCACAGGACAGAGTAGAGTTTAGAGCTGTTGTACATAGGGCCGCTATGAGTTGCAAGCGACTCGACAGCACATAACAACAACAACAACAACAAAATTGGCAAAGGGAGCTCTGGTGGTGAAGTGGCAAGAAGCTGCACTGCAACCCCAAACACATGTGGTTCAAGCCCACCAAGTGCTTTACAGGAAAAGGAAAAGTCTCCTCCCTTTTGATTTACTGCTTCTGAAAACCTGCTGGAGGGACAGGTATGAGTCAGTAACAACTTGATGGCACACAACAACAACAACAGATTGGCAAGAGGAAGTAAAATTCTATTTGAGTGGCATCCACTTCCTAAACAACATGCCTCTGGAAACTCTATGAACTTTGATAAATGACAGAAAGGCTTCAGGCCTTTTGTTCATAGGGTCGCTATGAGTTGTGCTAGACTTAACAGTAATCAACAACAACAACAATATATAGACAAAGGATGAAAATGGCTGATCTAGTGGCTCGATTCAGCAAAGTGGTAGGGTATGTCAATGTACAAAAATCTGTTGGATTTTTCTAAAAGGGCATTCTAAAAGGAAAGGAGAATAACCTCATTCATAATATTGATATATATAATCTTTGTGAATTTATGCGAATTTATAATTTTTCATTCAAAAGATTAAATAGCTAGAAATGAATCTAACAAGAGATATAATAGACATTTACAAAACCCCCTACAAAACATGACTACAGGAAACCCAGACATCTATATAAATGAAATATAAACCATGCTCATGTATCAGAAGACCTAACATCATGAAAATAGAAATCATAGCAACAGCAATCTACAAATACAAGGCGATCCTTATCCAGATTCTGCCATTATTTTCAAAGAGATGTAAAAAAAGATTCACCAACTTCGTATGAGAAGGAAAATTATCTTAGCTAAACAAAATGACCTGCGTTTGTGTCTCTTATAAAATGTATTTGCAATGAATAAGTCATTGATTTTACAAAATTCAATCATTCTATCTCCAGCCTCATTCCTGTCACC